CCCTCCCTTCTTTTCTCTCTCTGTCTCTCCCCCTTCCTATCCACTCACCACCCGACCCACCCACCCCTTTCTTGGGATTAAGCATGCACTCATCCATTATTTTAATTGTCTTGCTGCAGGTTATGAGCTCCCATCCCCTCTACTGAACACAGACAGTGAAATGCTAGTATCTATGATGCAGTGTACCTTCTGAAATAGATGGATGTGCCTCTTTTGCTGTGGTAATATCTGTTAATTTACTTAATCATCTGTCAGCTGGACAGAATACAACAGCATGAAAGAGATACCAACCTGAGATGTTCCAGACACACTGTGTCCAAGTGCAGGGCACACATTTTTCCTATGACTGATGTGTTACACTTACTAAATCTGAGTCATGAAAACTCCGGATGTGCCTTGTCCCTCTGCCTCCTCCCTGCTTCCTCCCACCATCCAGCCCTACGTAAAAAATCAGTTCCCACCTTGGAAATCCTCTTCCTACAGGATGAGGAAAGAGATGAATCTACCTCAATAATTCTAGATTTTACTGTGTTATATGTCTGCCTTCCAGTATAAACTGAGTGTGGTGGAGAGACAGGGCAAGTCTGGCAGGCAGGAGAAATGAGGGAGAACAGAACAAGAAGGCAGGGCTGTCAGTAACTAAAACTGCTACTGCATATAATAACCCAAGTTAACTCCTGGTGAAACAGCGTTGAAAAAAACAACACCTGGCATCTGACTCCTCCTGGATTCAAAAGGAAGCATTACAGCCAAGTTTGGAGCACAAATGCTAATTTTACTGCATAAATGGGAGACAGGTGTTGTTGCTTTTCTAAACAAAATCCACATGTAGGCATATGTAGTGTGACCTTGCTTCATGGTGGACCACTCAAAAACTAGTATGTCTTGTCACACTTTAAAGTATGTTCTTGCCTCACAGCAGAGTCAGTGAAGCTCTGGGAATTTTAGAAAAAAATAAAATTGGAAGTCAAGGGAATCATAGAATTATAGAATATTCTGAGCTGAAAGAGAACCTCTAAGAACATCAAAGTCCAACTCCTGGCCTTGCACAGGACAGCCTCAAGAATCCCACCATGTGCCATGTGAGAATGTTCTCCAAACAGTTCTGGAAATCTGTCAGGTTTGGTGCTGTGATCACTTCCCTGGGGGACTTGTTCCAATGCCTGACCACCCTCTGGGGGAAGACTTTTTTTCTGATATCTAACCAAACCACACCTGACACAGCTTCATATCATTCCCTTGGATCCTGTCACTGGTGACCAGAGGGAAGAGATTGATGTCTGTCCCTCCACTTCCACTCATGAGGAAGTTGTAGACTGCAATGAGGTCTTCCCTCAGTCTTCTCCAGGTTGAACAAGCCAAGTGACCCCAGTTGTTCCTTGTATGCCTTCCCCACTAGACCCTTCAGCATCTTTGCAATCCTTCTCTGGATGCTTTCTAATAGTTTTTTAATATTGTGACACCCAATACTTCACTCAGTACTCAAGGTGAGGCTGCCCCATTGCAGAGTAGAGCGCAACAGTCACCTCCCTCGACTGGTTGACTATGTTGTGCCTGATGCACCCCAGGACATGATTGGCTCTCCTGGCTTCTAGGGCACACTGCTGACTCATATTCAACTTGTCACTGACCAGGACCCCT